GAAGAATATAGACTCTAAAGCATTCTAAAAGCTTGTAGGTTTCAGTCCCAGTGGAGACTGACACTCCAGCCTACTTACTGTAGCTAGGATGTATTGATTTTTTTCTCCCCATTTTTAGCTGCACCACTGAATTAGGTATTGTGAAGCATCCGTCCTTGTGAAGAGAGGAAAAACTGTCATGAACTTTTTCACCCTAACAATAGGGCATCTCAGACTAAACCAGAATGAAAGGAAAAAGCTTTAAGAACTCTTAGAAACTCTGCAACTTAGCTCTCCATACTGACTCTCCTAACTAAAAGGTGTTCCACAGATCTTGAGAAACTAGGATAGATGATTGGAAGCAATGAATTTTTAAAACTGTTTTGTTAAAAAATAATCAGTCAGTAAAAACAATGCATTCCTGTAGCACAATCTTGGAAGGTTAGCAAACTGGTCTTGTCCAAGTTTTCAACAAGATGTTCAGTTACTGTTATAATTGGCTGATGAGTAGGTTTGGACCTAACTAGAATGCCAGTGTTCGATTTCACAGTGTCCTCTGTGAAGATATGTCACCATTTATGCTGGCTTTAGTGACAATTTTCTAAAAAGGAAACTCGTGGGAAATCATTATGCTGTTTATATGTCTCCCTTGCTGGAGAGCATTATCCTGTGATATTTTAGCACTGTTTTCCACTGCATGATGGCATCTAGCTAAGGTTAAGGCAGAACAAGTCCCTCTGCAGTTTTGTGACTATGTTTTACTTACTGAAGGAGAAAAGATAACTGACAATTAAGAATTTGGGATGTCACTGAAAGAACATGTGCAACTAATCAATGACATCCTGAGGGAACATGATTTTATGAAGCTGATAAAGTAGAAAAATCTGGATTTTAGTGTTACATAATAATAATTGCACCCTTTTGATAAAAATGACATTTCTAACGATGTAAACACTAGTATTTCCAGTGTTATATTTTTCAGGCACATGCATTGGCTTATTAAAATATGGCAGGAATTGGTAAACAGCTTTTTAAAATATGTGAAGAAAACATGGTACTCAACATAGATGGAATTGACCAATTTGAAAAAATGTTTTTCTGGAGTCACTTCCTAAATTATTTGCTTTCAGTAGGCTTATGTGTTTTAGTTCTCTTCTCATTTTGGAGAGAGAACATATGCTGCTCTTGTTCCTTAAATCAGCTTGTTAAAACGGCACAGGGTTTGGAACTGGACTAGCTATGGTCTTGCTAAGTAGAATTTAAATTACGTACATTGAAAAATCCAGACATTAATTTATAACCCTACTGTGATCTTTTACTGTTTCATAGATATGTTTTGGAGTTTGTAACACAAGTCTTATATAGCTCGTTGTGCTCCTATCTAAAATGTATAACCACATACTGGACTGAAAAGTGGGTTTATTTGTATGTGTTTTATCACTAATTTTATCACATAGTCAAGAAGAAGCACTTCTTCTGCTTATCTGTTATTTAAAGATTAAGGAGAATATGGTTTGTAATATATGCATTCTTTAATAACTTTCTAACTGAGAGTGTCTAAAATTTATGATTGCATTGGTTGTTCATGTAAATGGAACTAGTTATGATTGTAGCCCCTACTTATTTGATTAATTTGATTAATTTTTTTAATTGCAAGTCTAAAAGAAATACAGCAAAGATTAGAATTGTTACATATGTTGGTCAGTTGTCATCTGTGCTGTCTTTCCCTGTTTTCAGTTTCTCTTTCAGCTCTTCCATTATTTGGCATACAATGGCATACAAATCAAAGGGCCAAATTCTCTACTAGCCCAGCAGAGTTGGGCCAGCAGAGAATTTGATCCCAAATTAGGATTATTCTAGAATGTCATGATTTATTCCTTAATGTTTTTGGAAGTATGTAAAATATAGCTATGACTTTTTGGCATGCATTATCTGGAAAATGTACTGTAGTTCAATGAAACCGTATTTGTATTTCATTGCTTCATGACAGTCTGACAAAATGCCACATCAAATCAAGGTGGGTTATGTCTGTCTGTCTTGCAGTTCTGCAGTTTCAGGTTTGCTGGTTGCCAAAATAAAGGGCTTGAACAGGTGCTAGGGTGACCAGACG